TTATTATTATTATTATTATTATTATTATTATTATTATTATTATTATATTATTACTTTTTTATTTTTTTTAAATTAATTTTTACTATTATAAACTTATCGAAATTGCCCATTTTTCTTTAAAAAATAAAATTCCTTTTCGTTCAATGTTTGTTTTGTAAAGAATTTTTTTTTCTGTGACAACAAAGGTCTCCAACTTCCCCTTTTGTTTCTTCATGAAGGGTTTCACCTTATGGTTTGAGGTCGATTGCGTGCACTTTCTTAATATACTTTTCTATAGTCAAAGCAATGTTAAAGGCTTTAACAATATGTGTATATGCAGCAAAATAGTTATTTTTCTCTCGTTTTATATACTCTTTTCTCTCTTCGTTTTAGAATATCAACAATTGTGTATTTTTCCAAGACCTGATGTGTATAACGATCCAACACGATAGAAGTAAGACGAATGATTTCCTGTTCGACCGCGGCGCGTAAACAAGAAAAACTTACGAGAAATTTCTTTTGACAGACAATCGATAAACAATTAAGATATTGAATTAAAAAAGAAAAAAATAATTGACATTTGCACTTCCTTTCATTCGTCTCTATAATACCTGAATATTACAAATGTATATTATATATCTGGGACAAGGGAAATGAAACACGTCAACGCAGTTCAGTCAACTATGACGATTACATATATATTTTGACGTTATTATTTTTTTTTCCTGACATATAATCAACTGTACTTTTAATACAAATTTATTGTTTTGTTTTTTTTGTAATAAAATACTATAATGAAATAAAAATATGAAAACTACTTTTTTAATTAGGTGATTAATTAAAAACCAAATGATTATTTAAAATTCCCTAAAAATAATTCAATAATTCTGAAAATATTTTAAAAATTAAATTACTTTCAATGCAATTTTTATAAATATATTCGTCAAAAAAATTGAAAAAATTCAATATTATTTTCATAAAATAATAAAATTCTTCGCGAGAATTCCAATTATTTTCCTAAATAATAAAATTCTTTGAAGAAATTATAGAATTTCTTTAAAATTCTTTCATCGAATTTTTTGATAAAATTCTTTACGCAACAATTCGATGATTTTCAATACATTAATTTTGAAATTGAAAATATTTAAAAAGAAAAATTATATAAAACAGTTATAGGAAATAAAAAAGCAAACAACTAAACTTTGAACAAATTATCGGAACATGTACTTTATTATTATTAATAATAATTATCTTTTGTCAGTAAAACAAAAACCAAAAATTTCCATTTTAAGAATAGAAAAATAAATAAAAATTTTAAGAATATTAATTGCGCACTTTTTATTAATTTCCTATTAAAATGCAAATAAAATATTTCAATTTAAAGGATGTTGTGATTTGAATTTTACTCTCACGCGCAAATGTCAATATAACGCGTCCCCTATTTTATTTCCAGGTGAAGAAAGAACGTTTGATGATCGACGTGATAGGATTTCAGGGAAGCACTATTCGATCTTAAAAGGCTCAATTTTCAACTGTTTATTCAAACGGCAATTTTTTTTTTTTTGTTATTTTTCACACGTCATCACACTATTAACTTTTATGTTTTCAAAAAGCTGAAAAAACAACATTTCTCCTTTCTTTCACTATCCAGAAAATTTTTTCATTTCAGAATATTAAAAAAAATCAAAAAGTACGGATTCTTCTTTTTTTAATATATTATATTCATATATATTTTATGGCAATAATTTAAGTATATAGATTTTACGCACAATAATTTGCAATAGTAATTGATAGAAAGTGAATCCACTTTCTGAATTTTTACTTCAAAAATTATAAACATAACCTAAAATTTTTACCTTTCTTGGGAGCGCATCAGAAGGAAACAAATAAATCCTAATGATAATAATCTAATAATAATATTTGTAATGTTAATAATAATAATAATAATAATAATAATAATAATAATAATAATAAATTTTGTATAGAAAAAAGTTTTCTTAAAAGGTGTCAATAAACTAGATAATTTACAAGAGAAATTTAAAATACTTTCAAAATTATGAAGATGTCTTCAATTAACTCCCACGCGAAAATAACAATGCATATCTTCACTGGTGGGCGCAATCGTCCATTAATGCGTTAAGTATTACATTTTTTCTTCAATTACATATTATATACATTGAAAACAAGTATCAAGAATTTCTTCTTTCTTTTTTTAATTATTATTTGTCAAAACGTATATTTTTTGCCAAAGAAGAAAAAAGAAAATAAAAACAATTTATTGCAGAAAAAACTTTTTTTCTTTTCCAAAATAAAGAACCTATTTTAAAATAATTAAAAAAAATTTATTTTATTTATAATTTATCAGTAATTAACATATAAAGTTAATGTTAGTAATAAAAAAATTTTTTGTCATCTTTTTTTTTATTATCAGTTTGCTGCATTCATTAAAAATAAAAAAAATTCATTCATTTAATAAAAACAGAGCACATCTTTGAAAAGAAAAAGTAATAAAACTGCAATAGATTCAAAAAAAGAAAATTAACATATTTTAAGCATAAAATTTTTCTCTTTTTTCTTTAAATTTATTCTCGAATTTATTTTTATTGCAAATTTTTCAGAAAATAAAAAAGAAAAATTTATATTGAGAACATTTTTTTCTATATAATTATTTTTAATTTTGAAAAACAGAAAAATTTTCTTTTTTTAATTTGAATTCTTAAAATTCTTAAAAGAAAACAAGATAATGTCCATATAAGCAAATATATTTTTTAAAAAAGGGAAAAATTATTTAAAATAAAAAAAAAATTTTATGTAAATACGCGAGATATTTTGTAATGTATTCTCTCAACAATGCGAAAATAATTGAAAATGATACACAATTATTTTACCATGACAACAATTATTTTCCTGAGTTATTTAAACTAATAGGATATGATTTCGTCATAGGCATTTTTTTTGTTCAGAAATGAAAAACAATAGAATAATTTTCTACTTTTTTCACATTTTCACTGATATTGTTTTTTTTTTTTTTGTTTAAATATTTTACCCATGAGTATTTATACGCTTTTGTCAATGACACTTTTTTCATATTTACATTGTTATAATTATAATGAGCAATAAAAAGTCATTTTTTAAATTAATACACATTTTTAATAGTTTCTTAAGAAGGAATCTATCATAAAAATATTATTATTTATATAAATAATTCAATGAATTCTATTGTTTTAAATTCTGAAACATATTTTCCGTGAAACATTTTTTAAATTGTATGTTTCATTGTATAAAATTGTTTTCTGGAATTTTTTTTTTATTTTCAACTATTTATATTATTTAGAAGAAGTAGAAGAAGAACTATTTATATTATTAATAACTGTTTTTATGACAATTATTACAACTTACAATTATAAATATTTATTTAAACATAAAATTATAATTATAATAGTATGAAAAACAAATAAAAACAATTATTAGTAATAAAAAAATAATTTTAATTATTATTAAAACAAAATATTATTATTAATATTATTTTCCTGGCCATTGTCTATTTCTTTTAATATTTTTAACAGTTATTGTATCTAAGTATTTCAAACTATTGTTTATCTGAAATAAACTTCTTTTAAAGATTCACTTGTTAATAATAAAAAAAAAAAAAAAAAAAAAAAAAAAAAAAAAAAAAAAAAAAAAAATTATTATCTTTATATGATGATAATTTTAAAAAATAGATTATACAATTTTAATAATATAAAATGCAATATAAATACAAAGAATATTTTTTGTAACTTAAAAATAAAAATTATCGTTAAAAAGCAACTTTTTTTTAATAAAGAATTCAATATAAAATAAATGTTTAATTTGTGTCTAAAATATTTAATTAATTATCCTTTTATGTTATTTTTGACATTTGGCCCTAATGATGCTTCATTTTAATTTTCCTGCCATGAGATCACTATCGGCATATAGGCATTAATTTTGTCATGTCCCTTCATTTAACAAGGCATGTAATTTTTTTTTCTTGTTTCTTAATATCACACTATAAATACTAACAGAATTTATTTTAAGAAAATTTAAAATATATCAAATTTAATTTTTATTTATTTATTAACGGGAGAATGTTAAATTAATGTTTAATAATATTACAGCAAAACATTGTTAGTTGATTATTAAAAATTACAAAAAATTCTTTAATTTAAAAAAAAAATTTTTTAATCTCAAATTTTTAAAAATTTTAATTTTTTAAAATTCTAATTTTTATAAAAATCTAATTTTTAAAAAATTTTATACAAATCTAAATTAATTTACAATATCTAAATTAATATTTTGTAATTTATAATCGATATGTTGTAAAATTTTTAAATTTAAAAAAAAATATTTAATTCTTTTTTAGATACTCGTACATATAAATAGAATAAATTATACGAGTTAGTTTTAAGTTTCAAGCTGTGGGAAAATTAGTACTGATTGTAAGGGTCAATTCGTTTAGATAAAAAAAATTCCCATTTATCTTTCCGAAGAAATTTTATATCATAAATTTTAAAAATCTCAAAAATATTTTTTCTCCTATCATAAATAAAAAATATTCAATTTGTAGAAAATCACTATACTTCAACCAGCTATCGTCATTGAATTTAAAAAAATTTTTTAAAGAAATGAAAAATTTACAGCTGAGTAATTTTTAATAAAAACTTTTTTTTGAAATTAAAAAAAATTATAGGTATTTCTTAGAAATTTTTAATATTTTTTTGAATAAACAAAAAAATCATCGAACCTCTTCGAAAGTACCGGTTTCAAAGGATGGATAACCGGCGTTTTTTTTTTATTTCTAAACAAACACTGTTAATTATCGTAACACAGACTAAACTCCAAATTAGATTTTTCAAAATGTATATAGAACAATTTTAACACAAAAAACAATCACAATTTATTATTTTTTGACAGATAGCCGGTTGATTTGAATTCAATCACTATTTTTCTATATAGGACACGATAAATTTTTGAATTTAATGGAGAAAAATAAAAATTACCAAACGGCAAGAAAACAGCCACCAGCAGAGTTAAACTCGAAATCACAATTTTCAAATTCATGTTGAGTATTTATTAAAAAATTTTTCCTCAAATGAAAACACTTGTTTTATCGAGAAAATATGATAAAATGGTGTTCACTAAACGAACGCGGGAATAAGAATGGTAAAAGTGGTCTATAGCATTATGACTGAGTCGCAGTTTGGACGCAGTGCCCTCACGCGTCCTTGCGTGCATGCTTCGAATTGCTCACAAAAATAGGGCTTTCGTCCTGTTATGTCAAAAATAAAATATCTCATAAAAAATTAGATATTCAAGGGTGGCTAATGTTAATTTACCGAGTGGTTACGAAATAGCAATTTTTTATCATTCCCTTGAATTGTAAACAAAAAAAAATTAAAAATAGGATTTTTCTGAGAAAAAAAATGTTAGTTAGAAGTCAAATAACAATTTTTAACTAATATAACCATTTTGTAGATGTCACTTTTGGATTTTTGAAAAAAATATATATAGCTTTAGATTTGTAATCAGCAATCCAAAAAAAACCCGATTAAAATAAGTTTCAAGCAAAATTGGGTAACTTTTAAAAATTCATCCGCCATATTGCATCCGCCATTTTGAATTCTTGAAAACTGATATTATATTCGTAATCGCAGCAACCCCAAAAAAACAAGGCTCGAACTAGGTCCGTAAATTTTGCTTCAAGTCCATAAAAGTTTTTTTTTTAAAAAAAGATCCATAATTTGATAGAAAAAGGATGAAAAGTTCATAAATTGTACGATATAATTTGGAGAATTTTAAAAAAATTTCAGAAATTCAATTATTTTCAAAAGTATAATAAAATTCGCAGAAAGTCATAATTAGTTCAAAAATTTAGAAATATTCCAATTATTTTCAAAAATAATAAAATTTTTCTCCGAAATTCAATTATTTTCAAAAATTTTAATAAAATTCTTGGTAAAATTTCAATTATTGTCAAAAATTTTCCTAAATTTAATGATTTTCAATATATCATTTATAATTTAATCAAATTTTCCGAAAGAATTCAATTATTTAAAAGAATTTAAATAAAATTCTACGCAAACATTTAATTTTTTTCATAAAAAATATAATAAAAATTTCACAGGAGTTCAATTATTTACAAATTTTTTTTTTATAAATTTCTTCTACATAATTCAATTATATTTACAAATAAAATTTTCCACAAAAATTCGATTATTTAAAAAAGTATTTCTTTTTAAATTCTTTGGAAGAATTCAATTATTTAAAAAAATATTAGAATTTTCCACAGGAATTCAATTATTTTCATAAATAGTAAAACTTAATGCAGAATTTCAATTATTTTTATTGCAATTATTAATTATTTTAATGGAATTCCTCGAAAAGTGTAATTATTATTAAAAATTTTATTAAAATTCGTCGAAAGAATTCAATTATTTAAAAATTTGTTAATAAAATTCTATTTTCAGAGACATTCAATTATTCAATAATTTATTATTTTTATTTTAATAAGTGGATTCTAGTAGAATTTTCTAATAAAAATTGATTTACAACTGAATTTCACTTAAATTCTCAAAGAACTTTTTCAAAAATTATTAAAAATAATGAATTTATAGAAGAATTTTAATTAAAAACACTAAAAAAATTTTAATTTTGGAGAAATTATAAATTATTGCAGAATTTCAATTATGTTCAAAAATTTTTAAAAATTCTCGTCAAAATTTCAATTATCTTCAAAAAATAAAAAAAATTCTTCTCAGAAATTCAATTATTTTCTTATATTTTAATAAAATTCTTTGCAAAATTCAATTATTTTCATAACTATAATAATATTTATAACAAAAATTCAATTATTCTCAAAAGTAATAAAATTATTCGCAGAAATTCAATTATGTTCAAAAATAATAAAAATTTCACAGGAATTCAATTATTTTTGTAAATAATAAAATTTTTACAGAGATTCAATTATTTTCGTAAATACTAAAATTATTTTTAGGAAATTTGTTCTACGCAAACATTTAATTTTTTTCCTAAAAAATATAATAAAAATTTCACAGCAGTTCAATTATTTACAAAAGTTTTTTTATTTTCATCCACATAATTCAATTATATTCACAAATAAATTTTTCCACAAAAATTCGATTATTTAAAAAAGTATTTCTTTTTAAATTCTTTGGAAGAATTCAATTATTTAAAAAAATATTAGAATTTTGCACAGGAATTCAATTATTTTCAAATATTTTAATAAAATTGTTCGAAGAAAATCAATTATTTTAAAGACAATTTTAATTAATTTTTTTTTTGATATTATTCAATTATTATATTAGATTTTAATAAAATTCTTTACAAGAATTCAATTATTTACATAAATAATTTTTCGAAAGAATTCAATTATTATAAAGATAAATAACAAAATTATTCCCGAAAATTCAATTATTTTGAGGCATTTTAATAAAATTCTTTGCAAAATTCAATTATTTTCATAAAGAACAATATTCATCACAAGAATTCAATTATTTTTAAAAGTAATACATTAATAATTGAATTCTAGTAGAATTTTGAATTAAAAATTGATTTAAAAATGAATTTCAGTTAAGATTTCAGATAATAATTGAATATTAAAAGCAATATAGCGTGAATTTTTAGAAATAATTGAATTTTGAAATTAACTTTTATGAAAAAGTTTAATTTATTGAATTTTTAAATATTATTTGAAGTTTTTATTTTCTAATATTTAATTTGAAGAAGAATTTACAAATAATTGAAATATAGTAAAATTGAATATTGTAAACAAATGAATTTGAAAATTGACAAAGGATTTTTTCGAAAATTATTTAAAATAATTGAATAATAATAATTTTTTGAAACAATTTTTTTTTAAAGGACGACTTTCTACTTTACAAACCTTAGGCTTTTGTAAAATGAAATTTTTTATTTTTATTTATTCTTGTCATTCACAGTCAAGGGGTTATTAATTTTTAGACATCCAAATTTTTTTTAATCTATCAATAAACAAATTTTTTTTTTCATTCTAATTGTCAAGAATTTGAAAGAAAATTGTCAAATCAAATGTGAAACTTTATGAATTTTGCGATAAGTAAAAGTAAATGTACGACATCATAATTATTCCTCTGAAGGTGTAAGTATAACTTACAGTGCCTTGTATTTAACAGCTTCGTCTATGCTTTTATAACTCCTGTGTTCTCTTATCTTTACACATAGAATATATGATACGCTTCCTCATAAATGAAACATAAATGTCTCGCCTTAATAAAAACGTGTCTATTTTTTCATAAATCGGGATAAATTGAAGAAAAGGTGAATATTGACAAACAGTTTCACTATACCATATTGATTATTATATATTAATCCCTTTTTTTATTTCAAAAAAAAAAAATTGTATCTATTAACAAAATTAATTGAGTGTTCACTCCGAGTCAAGGAGTGATAGAATCATTATCATTATTATTAACAAAATTGTTCATGGAAATATGGAATTACATGGAATAGCAAGGAACAATCAAAAAAACATTTTTTTCAGTTTTTATGTACACAATTATAGAAGTTAAAAATATTACAAGAATCTTCGAATGTAGTTAATCGATTCAAAAGACTGTACGTCCCTAGTTCTTGGATTTACTTCCGTAATGCAATGTGGGTTGTGTATAGTTTACAATAAAGTCAGAAGCTATGTCGATGGACGTCGAGAGGGTGAAATGTTACGCACATAAGAGCACACGAGGGGGTTTTCGTTAACATCACAATTGGGGTGCGGAAATAAAGAGATGAGCATAAGAGATAAATTTTCCTTGCCCTAGTATGAAGTTTTATGCTTCCCCTAGGCCTAGAAACTATCTATGATAGATTAACGCTAAATGGGAACTTGCATTTTCATTCCTGCCTCTCCCTTATTCCTATATACTCTCATAGAAAATCGTTTGTTATTCGCAAAGGCCTCTCCAACTGATGATTCACGTTTTTTTGAGGGGTTGGATTAAAGAAAGAAATTCTATATTCCATCGAGAAGAAAGTTTACACTTGAATAAACGCATCTAAACATTACAGCGAGCATTACAGTCAGTGACATATTTTGTTGGTGATTATCAATAACAAAAACAGACCGATAAAATGTAATTATTGTTATAATATGTTTTCCATGTTTTTTAAAGAAATTTATAAGTTATAACAAATCCAGAAAGTAGTATTTTAAATAATGTAAGAGGAATAACGATTATGCACGAATTCCAGCACATGATTCCGATTCGTGAATCATCAGTATAATAGAAAATTTTTTATAAAAAGGGCAAGCAGTTTGCGGCTCAATTCTGAAACCAATATTTAAAACGAGGAACATAGGTATATTTAAAAAAGGTTCTTAAAGTAACAACGCTTACAAAATGTCACATAAAAAACTAGAATCGATACATTATTTCTGAGACGATAATGACCGGTGTTTTATAATTTATGGATTTGAAAGGTAAACAAATTTGTGTGGGGCACTTGAAGCGATATTTTTACGCTGACAATAATTATAGAGAGATATATGCGGGTGTGAAAGAAGAACTAATAGACGATTATTATTTAGCCTGCGCAGTATAGTGAAATATGAAATGACTCAGCATTCTGTTTACTTCAAATGTTTGGTCACTGTCTTTCTATGTATACTTGTCTTTCGCAGAAACTTGTTAAATTGAAAACCTTTTTTTTTAAGGAAGATGGATGAACAACAAATGCAAAGTTTTTCTGTATAGTTTCATTGCGAATAATTAACGAATGATAAAGTTCATTTATGAGTTCTTTATGCCACGGAATCTATAGTTGAATTTCAATCTTTGTATTGTAGCCTAATCTTCGGTAATCTTTATCATCTCCATAGTGCACAACTGTATCTGATGATCCTCCGATTTTAAAAAGGATGTTCCTTTTCTTTTTGAGGAAAGAGGGTACAACACTAAATATTAAAGACTTTTTTAAGATCTTTTTTCTAATAAAACAAGAAATGATCCAGTAGAATTTATTGAAAAATGTTTTTAATGATCTCTTTAAAAGTCGTTGAACTAATGATACCGATCTGCAAGGCTCGGAAGATTGCGTGCAGACTGTATAAGAAATTGAGTATAGGGTAGAAATTTGCCCTTCAATATGAAAAGACTAGATGACCCAAGTCAA